GATTCAATCCTCAAATGCTCCAGAAGAAAGTGTTGGTAGTAGTAATAGTACGTTGGTTGAACAAGAAACTGAAAATACCATTATACAAACACAGATCACATGTTGGTAGTAGTAATAGTACGTTGGTTGAACAAGAAACTGAAAATACCATTATACAAACATAGATCACACAAGAATCACCCGTAAAAGTTTCCTGTCCCAGAGCTAAATGTGTCTTCTCTTTCAACAAGGGAATTTTTCAAAAAGGACGACTGAGCACAGATTGTGGCATGATCAGCTGTTAGTCCAACAGGGTCAAGTGCTTCAAAGACGAGCAGTCTTGAGTTGTATTATTGACATTATTTTCTTCATTGGATTTCAAATATTCAGAAGCAGTAGTTTCATGAAGACCATCTTAAAAATCTTGGAAATTTCTTAGAAGTAGTTAAATTGGTGTCAGAATGTAATCCAGCTCTGTAAGATCACCTGAAAGATATCACACAGAAATCAAAGAAGTGGGAACCTAAGCACAACAACTATCACGAAACTTTTCAATTTGATTAGAAATATGATCAAATATATTGTGGCTATGGAAGGTAAGAAGACTGGAATTTATTCTTTACAAATGGATTGTACACAAGATATCTCTGCTCATGACCAGTGTGCCTTTGTTCTAAAATATGTTTTAGATGACCAGGCCAAGGAAAGACTCTGTGCCTTCTTTATTCAACAGACTCTGGTGGGAAAAGCTTGTATTCACTACTAAAGAAAACCTTAACTGATGTAGGACTTGATCTTAAACACTGCATTGGAAAGTCATTTGATGGGGCTGCTAATATGAGCGGTGCATACAATGGCTTACAAGCACTAATGAAGGAACTATGTCCAAATCATGTTCACACTTAGTGTTATGCCCACGTTCTGAACTTGGTAACTGGTAATGCAAGTAGTGTTTGTATCGCAGCAGCTAGACCTTTCGGAATACTCAATGAATTGTCTAAGTTTTTAAAGAATCATACAAAAGTATGCATGTATGGGAGGATCAAATTCAATCTTCTAAGTTGGGACATGGTAAGCTTCGAAAGCTTGTAACTCTTAGTCATACAAGATGGTCCAGTAGAGCAGGATCACCTTGGAAATTGTTAGAATGAGATACTTTCTCATCTTCTCATAGTCTTGAAACAAGTCAGTGAATCCAGTGATTTCTGTCAGTCGGTGCTATATGATGCCAAGAATCTATATGAAAACATTACCAAATTTGAAATAGTTTTGGTGGCTTTCATCTATATTAGAATGTTTCACATTACAACTCATGTTTCTAACTATTTGCAATCACTTGGGCTTGACGGTCTCCAAGCGTGGCGTATGATAGTTGAAGCTACTTTGTGTTTGAAAAATATTTCTAGAGATTTTGACAATATATTTGAAACTACGTTCATAAACCTAGTTGCAGAAGAGGAAATCGTAATACAAAAGGTTTTCCCAAAAATA